GAAAGAGAGAGAGAGAGAGGAGTTTAGTGATAAGTTCTAGCAATTATAACTAGAGTGAAAACTCACCTTTGATAACCAATTTTTAGAATGTTACCACATAAAGCCTTGAGATAGGAATTTTTTTAAGAAACACCACCATAAGGCAGGCGTGGTGGCACATGCCTTTAATCCCAGCACTTGGGAGGCAGAGGCAGGCGGATCTCTGTGAGTTCGAGGCCAGCCTGGTCCACATAGTGAGTTCCAGGACAGCTGGGGCTACAAGGAGACCCTGTCTCAAAATAGACAAAAAAAAATAAACACCACCATAAATTTGAAGTCATTTTACTTTGAAACACCAGAACTTCCCCAACCTGTGGATCCACACCTCTCTGCACTTCAGAACTCCCAGCCTGTAGTAACCCCTTCCTTACTTTGCAGCCAGCTCCAGGCTCCCCTCCCCCACCCTCCTTCCTTCTCCCTGCTCTTCATCTCTGACCCCTCATAGCTAATCTCCTGATTGCTCTCCAACTATTTTAAGGGTTTTTTCTCCTTACTATGCTGAAGACACTAAGTATATAGATAGACCACCTAACCTGACAACGCCTGACAATCAAATCTAATTTACTTTTAAAGAAAGATTCTTGTGCATGACCCTGTGCTACCTGACTCCCAATTGCACAGAAAATAGCAATACACAGCTCAACCCCCAAGGGCTAGGATTCTGTTAGGACAAGAGAGTGCTGAGTCTGTGATCCCAGCACTCCACAAACTGAGATGGGAAGATGATCGCATGGCTGCAACACAGGCTAAAAGGTGTTATCATAAGAAAAGTCCAGAATATCTTTATCCGATGAAGGGAATTGTGAAAGGCTTTGTAAAGGTAAATAGCATTGTAATCTAGACTGTGACAGAGATAAGGAAAATCGGAAAAGACAGAGGAGTACAGGAAGAGGTCTAAAACGGATAACAGGTAGTGTTTGTGAAGATAAGTTTTCACAACAAAGATTGGAAGGGTTCTTGATGACTATCTGGTGCGCCCAGACCACAGGGAGTCGCTGGTGATTTTTCACTAGGTAAATAGTGCTGAATGGAGTGACTTTAAGAAGACAAGTCACATGGGACACTGAAGGAACAAAGCCTACCAGGAAAGGGAAGGGGGGTGTCAGGAAGGAAGCTGAGTTTCAAGCTCTACATGTCTGTAGACTTCAGTCTGAACCTGTTGTCCCATGCACTAAGTAAGCAACCTTAAAGCACTACTGATTTTACTAAGCAGCAGCCTTCCCTTGGTGTGGTAATGATCACGTTAGTGCCGAAGGGCAGGGTTTTGCAGGATTAACTCCACGCTTGCTGAACTTTTCACAGCAGCTCTGAGGGGAAGCCTTAGACAAGAGTAGCTCCTGTGTTGGCAGTTGAAAGTTTGAGTGTGGGTAACAAAATGAACAGTCCTGTAGGGAGAAATAAGGATGTCAACCGAAAAACTTTGAGAATGACATACTAAGTTTGACACCTAGTTTAAGTTAATAATGGGACATTTCTGCCACAGGCATCCCGAAAGCTGAGCCACAACACTAAGGGAAGAAATTTAGAGTTGGCAGTCATCCAAACTGAGATCTAACGTCTCCCTCCTGCCTTATAAAATATTCATTATCCAAATCTGCAGCAAGCATAGTCAGTGCTGATAGAAAATTACTGAAAATTCAGTTAGCTCTGAGAATGCCAGCCAGAAACACTCCCCCCCAAACCAACAGGGAAGATTTTTCCCAAGATCAAAATCAACTGATGCCTCCTTTCCCCTCTCCCTTCATTAAAACAATTTCCTGTGTTATCCCTTTCTGTTGTCAGACATCACAAGAAATATAAAGTTTCTCTCAAAAATATGCTAGTGTTTTAGTGAGTGCTGTCAACTGCTGTCATTTTTAACTAGATGACTTCACAGGAAGCAGGTAATAGAAAGTTTTCACTCAGAGTCCAAAAGATCATGTGTTCAGAAATTAAGCACTAGTTCAGTGGATTCACCTTTTTTAAAAGTCTGAAGATTTAGCTGGTATATAAAAGTGATGTTTTAAGATATTTTATTATATTATTTTTATCTTGTATGTATGAGTATATTGCCTGCATGCACTTAAGTGCACCTGTATCGTACAATGCCCACAGAGGTCAGATGAGGGTGTCAGATTCCCTGGAACTGGAGTTATAGAGGGTTATTAGCTGGTGTGCGGGAGCTGGGAATCGAACCCGAGTCTTCTGCAAGAGCAACCAGTGCTCTTAACTCCTGAGCCATCTGTCCAGCCCAGAAGTGATTTTTTGATTGTTTTACTTTTGTAAAATTTTTATTGGATTATGTGTATTTCACACAGAACATCTTAATCATCTTTATGCCCCCTTCCCCATTGTTACCCTCCCATAGACCCCTCTCCCCACTGAAATTCATGCATTCTGTCATTTGTGTTAAGGCCTATCAAGTCAAGTTAGTGTCCCCAGATGCCCCTCAGTACAAGTTGATCCACTCAGTAGACCTATCTAAAGTCCCTCCTTTTTAAGAAGATAAGTTCTTCCTCATTCAGCAGTAATCAGCTGCCAATAATTCTTGGATTGGGGCCTGCTGCCCATTTCCAGAGTTCTGTGTTGGGTTTTTATGTCTGCTTGAGTTTGCATGGGTCTTGTACATGTGGACATCATTGCTGTAAGATCACCAGGAACCTGTAGGACTATATACTTATGGTCATATGCCTCCTCCCTGGCTCTTACAGCCTTTCCACTTTCCACCATCTCTTCTGTAATGGTCCCTGAGCTCTGGGTGGGTCAGTTTTAATCTAGGAGTCCTGTCCGAGGAGCCACACTGCAGACTCTTGTTCTCTACTTGGCCATTTGTCACCTTTGGTGTTCCAGGTCCTCTGTTGCATGAGGAACCATTGATGAGAGTTGGAAGATGCATTAGTGTTCTCTTCACCCTTTGTTCTGTGTTCTGTGAGCCTTAGGTGTAGAGCTTGCACTGCAGGTGTGTCACTCAGGCTTGGCCAGTTCATAGACAATCTGTGTGTATGACCAGTTGTGGAACTCTGTAATAATCTCTGTCTGTTGAAAAAGAAGCTTCTTTGATGAGTGGTGACTAGGATACTTGTCTATAAAT